GGTCTTGTAAATGGAGTTACTTAGGTCGAAGTCCAGGATTCCACTCTTCTTCTGCACCCTTATTCAAAATAGCACCGACACCTGCCTGCTATATATCCAAGATATATCCTAGATATCTCGACTCCTCTCCATTGCCTTTAACCTAGTCCAAGCCGCCCGGACTGGACAGCACTGCGGCCTCGTGGCTGTCTGCGTCCCGCCTGTGACCATCCCTCAAGTACGAGCTGTGATTTCCTGAAAACACGAAGCAGGTTGGCTCCTCCAGCACACCGTCCAGGGGTCGCGCAGTTCACCTCCAGTAAGGTCTAGACTCCTCCCCCCGGCTTCCAGACCCAAGGTGACCTGGGCCCTGGCAGCCACTCGAACGTTCTCGCCCCTCTTTCATTTCCACTGAAATCCGAGCTAACTGGTGTCTTTCCTTCCAGAAACGGGTAAACTTGCTCCAGCATGGGGCCCTGTGCTGACTGCTCCCTCTGACCAGGTTTTCCTTTAAACAACAAGGTCATGTCATCCACATCTGGTCACGTGTCTCTCTTTGAAAACCCTTGGCCTGACCTCCCACTTGAAAGAGGCCAATCCTTCCATGTCACATCACCCCACTTAAATTCTCTACAAAGCACTCATTACTATTCAAGTCTTTTCTTCTTCCAAAATTTCATTTATCTGTGACTATTTCCTGCAACAGAAACTCCGAGAGCCGAGGCCTCGGAACGGGGTAAGACCCACAGTGACATGTGCTTGCTAGACGGCAAGTCGTGTCCACGAGCCGGGTACAACCACGATGACGCACAGCCTTGAGCCAGTCCCGTGACAAACCGAGGTGCACGCTTACCTCGCACTTGCTACATTAGTGTTGTGTGCACTGGGACAGGGCACGAGGGCTAGGAGCCGCTGTGGGGACCCTGGGTTCTAGCATCTGCTCTTCCAAAGACAAAGTGGCTTTCAGCAACCCCTGTGCTCGCTGAGCTTCTGCTCTTAGAATGGAACATTTCAGAGTGCAAGGTTCGGACCTGACGCATGTAGGGCGTTTCAGGGGGTGGAAGTCAAAGATCCCGGTGTCAGGAAAGTCAGGGTGCGTCTTTGCACAGAGAACACAGGTTGTGACTTTTCTGACAACCCAGTACCTCCAAACATCTTCCAAGCAACAAGACGGCACCCCACGCTCTGTAACAGGAGCCACCCTGCCCCGAGTGACGATGATGCCATGATCGACACATCCTTGCGCAGCCTGGGAAATTTATGGACTGCACAATACTGTCTCATAAACAGACGGCAGCGTGGAAACACCTGTAGATGCCAGCGCTCTGCGTTGTGACGGGGCCTCTGCACCGTCGTCAGGGAAATGGCCATCATGCAAGCGTGTGACGAGGTTAAGGCCCGGGTACGCAGACGCTGCGGGACAAACCTGTCCAACAGGGCCACTAAAGAGAAGACGCAGGAGGACACGAGTGACGTGACCTGTACTCGCTGTGTAACGCTGAGAATGAAACAGGCCAGTAATATCAGACTGACTCAGAAAATGAAGTCCTGCGGCTATGCCTCCAGGCTCAGTACAAACTACGCACCTGGGTACGAGAAAAGGTTTATTACTGAGAAGTGAAATTTACCCAAATCCCAAAGGGTCACGAAGACTTTTATTTTGATTTTTTTTTTTTTGGTTAGAAAGCGTAGGCACTTAAAAGGGAGCGAGAAGAATACCCAGTGGGGCTCTATCACACCACAGTGCCCTTCTCTGCACTGCTCCACCCTGTAGGGATCTGGGCATGCACACACACAAGTCCTGTGCATTTTCCAAGCCACCAGAGAGGGATCTGAACCACGTTCGACCACGTGGGACCCAGCACGCTATGCACAGGGCTTAACTGCTGCACTGCCGGGTCAGCTTCTAATTCTCCTCATGAAGTAGGTTCTAATCCATCCCACGGAGGCCTCGAAGTAGGGTGGCGCTCTTGCCTTCGGACTGGAGAGCGAAAGCGTAGCAAGCCTGCAGTCTCTCCTTTGTCTGAAGGTAGGGACTGGGGTAGGTGCCAAGTCTCTACTGGGTACCTCTTCCTTGTTTTATTTCTATTTCATTTTTATTTTTATAATTGCTGAGGGTACATGCACTCACTGGAGGGAGACAGAGATACAGAGGGAGAAAGCGCCCTGAGTGGGGCGTGTTCACGCCTCAGTCCTTCTCCATCCTGTCGGGGCTCTGGGCACACATGCATACAGGCCCAGCGTGTTTCTCAAGCCACCAGGGCCAGCACTTGAAGTGTGGCTGGCCATGTGCGAACTGGCTCCTCCAACCACTAGGATACGGGGCCACGCCTCTCTTCCTTATTTAATCCTAAATCTGTCTTCTTTTTCTCTCCCTCTTCTGAACCAGCCAGGAGCCCACCTGTGCCTGTCCCCGCACTGATCTGCCACCCGGAGGCAGTGTGCACGCAGCTGTGGATCCATGGGTTAA